TTAAGGGCTCCTGGGGACCCCAATGTGCAGCCACGATTGAGCACCCTCAACTCAATACCAACAAGTCTCCATTTCCTCCTCCTATTAGTCTCCTGCGGCTGCTCTAACAAATGCCCACACACCCAAGGCCTCTTCTGGATCCCAGTGGCTCTGGACGTCATTGGCTATCACTCCCACCTCTGCCTAAGACTTCGCATTGCCTCTGGGCATCTCATAAGGACACCAGTGGCTGGATTTAGGGTTCTAGTTCTGCACAGGGTTCTATTATCTGATGTTTAGAAGTAGATTCTCTTAAGACTTAAAATAGTGTCTGATCCCTAAGAAGCACTGTCTGATCTGAATGAGCTCTCGAAGTAAAATACAGAGTGGACAGCAGAACCGTGAGACTGGCCCGCAGAGACGTGCTCAGATGCCCCAGTGCTGTCTTCTACTTTTCAATAAACCCCTTACGGAAGGAGAGAAACGAACACACGCTGAGGCAGGAAACAACTTCTCAGAAACAGAGGCTGCTGTTGTGATCATTGGATGATCCCTTTTCTGTTTTCTTTCTTCTTCTTTTTTAGATAAGGGCATGAAGAAAGATGTAGCCTGACTGGGTTTCACAAATCCATAAAGTAACTGCCACAGTAACATTCTGACACTGGGTGGTCAGAAAGTCGAGACGCATTTTTTACGCAAAATGTATCATGACTTTCCCAATGATCTAATATTATTTTTTGTTTCATGGACAACTGTCAAATTTCATGTAAAAAAAAAAAAATGAGTTAGTCAAGTTTATCTAAATGGTGAGTCCTCCCCTCATCCCACTTGGTGGAATAGTTCTGGATTCAAGAAGGCAAAGGGAAAACCCCTGAAGGTTGGTTCCGGATTTTTTTTTTTTTTTTTGAGACAGTTTTTGCTATAGGGTGCCTGTACTCGCAGGAGAGATAGAGAGACTGAAAGCAAGAAATCACCCCCTGGTGGGGGGGTGGCCGATCCCTTCTCTTCCATTATCCTCTCAGGATTTGGGGCACACAAACACATGCACACACACTTGGCATGAGTTCTAAGTCGCCAGGTCCAGGACTCGAACCACAGTAACCATTACACCATCTGCCAGTCCCTGGTTCCAGGTTTGAAAACAGGCTCTGGCAGCGCCTCACGGGGAGCATTGGGCCTTGACTTTGACCATGGGAGGACACCTGCTTTCTTAAAGAACTCTCTTTCGGGGCCGCTATGTTTCTGTCTTCATTCCACGTGGACCCCTGAGCTTTTCTTCAGCCCTGACAGATCTTTAGAAGAGACTGGGCTCTGGGTTGTGGCTTCGGACCACATAAAAACTGGCAGCTGGCCCGGCAGGTGCTGTGGTGGTTAAGATGCTGGATCCAACATGGCCGACTCCACAGTTCCAGCCCAGGCCCAGCGGGTTAAAACCATATGTGCGTGCCTGCCCAAAATCCAACAGGAGAATGGAGGAGACAGACTGCGGGGTGGCCATGTCCCTGGGGGTGCTTTCTCACTTTCCTTCTCTCTCTGCCTCTCTCCTGCAAGCCTGTGGCAAACTCTAAACGAAAACAAGTGGCCGCCTATTAACTCTGGGTGTGCGGGTCCAAACGGTCAGACGGGAGCAGTTCCAGAACACCCTGGTCCGACGTGAGGTGGCGCGCGTGGTTTCCTGCGGACCGTCCACGTCCTTGGTTTGGTTGCCTGTCCGAACACTGCCAGGTTTGCTCGCTTTTCTAATCTCTCCTCCTCTGGCAGCGCCGATCGCTGTCTTGTGGTTTTCATCTTTATTACTCACGTCTCCTCACAATGAGCGCTCGTTAAAATATCTGAAATTAAGACCTTTACTGCCTCCAGGTCGTTCATACGACTCATCTTTCACTCTTACCGCAGACTTCCGGGCAGACTGGACACTATGTTCTATCACAAACTCTCTCCCACTAAGCTGTCACCGTGCGGCAATTACAGCTTTCTAGGGGTGTTCCGTCAGGGGCACACTCATACCTTCGCTTGCTCACCAGCAAGCGTGGCCGTGAGCCTGTTTTCCACACCTCACTTGATATCACAGTTCAACCCCAAAAAAAGGAAAAAAAAAATATATATATATGTGTGTGTGTGTGTGTGTGTGTGTGTGTGTGTGTGTGTATAAAGAGAAGCAATTACTCATCTCGCTTAAGGAGTGGATTTGAGAAGGGTGTGAGATCAGCAGGATCCTCACGTCACAGGAACAAGCCCTGCCCTTCTGACAGCCCGAGGGAGGTGAACTCTGAGTGTGAAGAAAGGGGAAGGGGGACACAGGGATGGGAGAATGTCTGAAATGATGTAACCTCCTTAGGTAAGAACTTCACTTTATTCTCATGTTGCCTGTTTTCCTCTCTTCTAAGGAGAAAGCAAAACTGATACAAAGCTAAAATGCGATCGTCATAGTTTGTGTTGTTCTTTCCAGTTAAAACATTACCACTTGGTTGGTCAAATACTTGAACAAAATTAGCTTGTTATACATAGACCACGGACACCACCATGTACCCAGATGGTAATTCTGAGGGCATCAGGCTGGGAAATCCCGCTTGGACTCTGCTAGCCCCACGCCAGGCTCTGTGACACGTGGGGCCTCTGTAGCCCATCCCCGCAGCACCCACTGCCCACCCGGAGCCCTCCCACTGCTGTCCAGCCCTCCAGGTGGGGCTGATCTGAACCCTGGTCCCAGGGCTGCCCCAGAGCTCAGTTCAGGGACGGTGCATGATCCAAGTTACACCAAACTGCCAGTGACGACCAGCCCCGGGCTTGTCCTGACCTGCCTGGAAGGGCAGCTTCCTCTATGGTGACCAGGTCAGCAGGTGGGCCTGGGGGCTGCTGGCCGGGTCCTCTTTCTCCAGGGGTAAGGACTGCCTGAGAAAAGGTCGCCCCAGAGGAAGAGGAAAGGCAGCAGACGCGGGGTTGAGGACCCTGCACCTGCCCATGAGCCTGGCCTAGCCCTGATCCTAATCCCCCGTGTGAGGAGCCTGAGTCCCTTCATGCATGAGCTTCATTAGTGCAGGACCCAGTGGCATCAACTGGACACAGCCGCCTGGTAAACCAGTAACGGAGAGGAGCCCTCCACGACGGAGCACAGACACGCAGGGCCCCTGTGCAAGACAGAGACCAAACAGACGCCACTCTGGGAGAATGTGGCCCACACTGTGAGCTGACCACTCCTTCTCCCCCGCCCCCCGTGCAGAGAACATCCCCCCTGCTGCAAAGCCTGGAAACAAGACCAGGTATTCACTGTCCCAGACCACCCTGCCTCTCGACAAAGGCACGGAACTTGCTGATGAGATCTAAAGGGAACACATCTATGGAGCTTACTGGAAAGGCTTTCTTCCCTGGTAAAAAGACATGCACAAGAAAAAGAGCCTTCCCTTCCAGTCTTTGGCTATAGTTGGGTGTGTGATGCCTGGAATTGCTGCAGCCACCTTGTGACCATGAGAAAACAAGCTGGAGGGTGGCAACCACTGTCCTGGGGACAATGGAGTGGAGAGACAGGAAACACTGGGGGAGAGAACTGTGCCACTGGGTTACACCTCTGCCTAGGGTCTTACCCAGGAGATGCTAACGCCCTGTCACAGCAGCCACCTTTCAGCGGAAGTTCAATCACCTACCACTGAAAGTGCCCGAGCAAATGGGAAATTCTAGCTCTTTCTACCTATTGAGTCATCTGAAAGGTCATGCTGCATTTCTACGTAGAAAAATACGTCGTGACTGACCCAACAACCCAATGAGACCAGCTCAGGACTGGGGAGAGCTCAGCAGGCAGAGGCAGGCTTCCACAGAGACAATAAGCCAAGCAGAGTGGCAGACGGGCCGCCTGGACAATGGCCACCAAGGACGATGACCAAAGTGAGTCATCAGGTCACTTGGCCAATGGCTCCAAGCAGGAGGCTCCTGGGCACTCAGCCTGAACCCCTTGTCTCCCAGTTTCAAAGGTGGGTAGGAGAGAGTTCTCACTGAGCTTAGCTGGGGTCACACACAAGGCTAGACTCACCATTGCCATGCCAGGGAAAAGGAGGTATGCCCACTGGCTACACCTCTCAGGCCGCTCCCTGCCACACAGCCTGTCCATTTGCTGAGTCCTCCCCAGCATCTAACTGTGTGGGCCTCCTAGGGTTTAAAGAGCAGAGAAGGTGAGCGAGCAGGCTGCCATGGCACCGAGCAATGAGGACCAGACCAGAAAGGGCATGCAGGCCAAGCTGAGGACTCTGAGCCCCGTCCCGGGTGAAGCAGGTGCCACCAATGGTGGCTGCATGTCCGACACAGCTCATCAGCTGGCCACTGATGCAACCTCACGTGAGGTGGGTGTCCAATGACACGGGGGGAAGAGGAGGCACAGACGCTGTGTAGACAGCTGCTGCAACGGGGGAGCGCCCCCTCCACCTGTGGGTGACCTGGTGGGAGATGACGCAGTGGCCACGCTCTGCTCCCAGGGGAGTTCAACCGTGAACCTGGGCTCCTGTCTGAGCCAGCAAAGACGGGATCCCTGCCAGCGGTGTTGAGTCTATCGGCTTAGGATCTGAAGCCACATGTCTCTACCCAGGTGTGCTGAGCGGAATGCCTGCATTTAAGCACGGGGACAATTACCCAATAGCTATGGCCCCCCTCGGTTGCTCATGAAACTGTACATCTGCCCTCACCTCTGAGATCATTCCCATTTTCCCCATCTCGTTCTTGACTCTTCACTGCAGACAATAACAATCATCATCCTTTAAAGTGCGGTTACCGCATTCTGCACTGTGACAAAGTGAACTCGGGCACTTTCGGAGATTGCCCACCCAGTGAGGTCATTTGCGTCTACACAGCATGAAGGATAAAGCCTCAGATGGAGTCGCATCCCTGGGCGGAGCCACTCAGAGCAGATGGCTGAGCTACGCTGATGGGCTCCCATCGGGAGGAGAGCATCCTTCACTCACACACACCCTCTCACCCCGGCTCTGGTGGCCAGCCCAGCCCCTCTGCCAAGGCGCCTTGGGGACCCGTGTGCTCACCTGCTCTGCACGTCCGGGGGCTGCCCCATGCAGGTAAGGGCGGCCGTCGTCTGGGCGCCGCTGTTATCGATTTCCTCCTGCACCGCCCACTGGTCCTCGCTGCTGACTCTCACTGCCGTTATCTTCACACCTGCTGCCGCCTTGATTCTGTGGGACAGGGGAGAAACCATACGTGTGACGAAACCATTGTAGTTCAAGACAGGTGGTGAAGTGCGGAGCTTGAGCAGGTCACCGGGGAAGCACGTCCAGGCCCCGCACCCTTGGAGAGAGAGGGGCAGGGGCGGGGCAGCAGCTGTTTTCCTCTAGAACCAAGTGTCCTGCTTTGCCAAGAACCTGGAAAGCAGGGCCCAGTGGTTTCCTGGACATCCGCCTTCTGTTTAACACCCACGAGAACCAGCTTATGTTGTGCCCCGAGCCCCCACGTGACGTCACCGAGACAGACTTGGGTGGGAGCTGCAGGGCCTGTTCTTCAGCTGGACATGAGGGAGGGTTCTCAAGAGGCGGCAGGAGCTGTGAGAGGCCAGGAGGGGTGCAGAAGCCCAGGAAGTGGTCCTGTCCAGAGGACAGAGCAGAAGGCCCCACAGTGGCCATGCTGTGAGATGGAAAGGAAGAGAGAGCCCGGCCCTTGGGTGTCTGGGAAACGTGCATGGCACTCAGGCAGGAGGACATGGCTAGATACTGCCTGGTACAGCATTTACAGAACTCGGTTCCTCCAGGAAGAGTTTGAAGACCCAGGTCCTTCACCATGGAGGAAGGTCAAGGAGCACTCCGAGCTCAGCAGTGCCTGGCTGTGAAGGAGACAGATGCTCCTCTGCTTCCCAGAGACCTGGGGGCCAATGAGCAATGCCCAGTGGGGCTCAGGGCATCCTTTCCACAATATCTATCGAAAGCAATGCCATGATGTGGGAAAATAGTAAGTGGAGGAGATAGAGAAATGTCAGCAAGATGGGTACATTAAGACAATATTCTGAGCCAGCTGGTGGCATGGTGGTTAAGGCAGCTGGATCCCACATGGCCAACTATGGGCCAACAGCAGTTCAAGTCCCAGACCTAACAGCTTGATAAATACACCAGGAACATGTGTATATGCCCAAAATCCTGAAAGGAGACATGCAAGATGGTCACCTCCGTGGCAGATACAGCCTCACTTTCCCTCTCTCTCTTTCTTTCTGTCTTTCTTCAGCAAGTGTACACACCCTCTAGCAAAATTTTTAAAATATTTTTTATGGCAAAGGCAAAGAATCCTTCCAAGATTAATCAGTCCTATCCACACAGAGCAGCAGGGTCTAAGACAGTTTTAAAGGGGTGAATGCACCTGGAGTGTGCATGTGTGCCCCTGATCCCGGCTGGCTGATGCTAGGGATGGATCATGGCATGATCTGCTGCAAGTACCAGAAGAAGAAATGAATTTTTTTAAAAAGGGCAGGTAAATGAAAGTGAAAAGACAACCTATGTATTGAGAGGAAAAATCTGCAAATGACCTGAAAAGGGTCTAGTATTCATAATATATAAAGAACTCTTGTAACTCAACAAAAAAAAAAAACATCTAATTAAAGATATAGGCAAAGGTCTAACCAGACATTTCTCAGAAAAATGGCCAAAAAAGCACATGAAAAATTCCTCAACAACATCATTAGTCATAGCAATGCAAATTGAAACCACAAAGAGATACTATTCACACCCATTAGGATGACTAACATGTATAAAGACAAGCCCGGTTACGAAGGTATGCAAATAGCACCAACATCTTGGAGGCTGGAGACCACATGGGAAGCCCAGGTTCAGTCTCCAGGCCATTTCCAATGTGCCAGGCCCAGCTATATGAGCCTATAACCTCAGCTAATGGGGCAGAGGATCATGGCACAACTAGACCCCATCGAAAATACCTATCTCTGTCTCTCTCCCTTTCTCTCTCTATTTCATAAAGGTGGTGGGGGACAGATAAGTGTTGGTGAGGATGTAGAGATAGTGGTACCTTTGTCCCACTGCTGGTGGGAATGTAAAATGGCAGAGATACTGTGGAAAACGGTTTCTCGAAAAAGTTCAACACAGAATTACCTATGACCCAGCAATTCCACTCCTAGGCATATAGCCAAGAGAATTAGAAATGGGCATTCAAGCAGGTATTCGTACACTTACGCTTCTCAGCAGCACCGTTTACCAATATCCAAAAGGTGCCCGGCCAAAAAGGGGACAGGTGACACTCTGCTTCCCAGAGGCCTAGGAACGCCAATGACCATCAGCTGAAAGAAAGCTAAATAGCATGTGTTTTATTTGTACAATGTTGTATTATTAGCCCATCAAAAGGAGTAAAGGAGGCCAGCAGGTGGCATGGTGGCTAAGGCACTGGACTCCCACATGGCCGATCATGGTTCAAATCCTGGAACTGGCAACTTGCTTTTTCCCTTTCCTTCTCTCTCTGGTGGGCACACATGTCCTATAGCAAATTCAAAAGTAATAATAATAAATTAATGTTTTTTTCAAAAAAGGAATGAAGTACTGATTCACGCTACAATAATAAGCCTCAAGAATATGATTCTAAGTGAAAGAAGCCAGACACACACCGCCTGACTCCACTTATATGAAATATCCAGAGGGCATAAACAGAGACAGGGAGCAGAATGCTGATTGGCAGGGTGGGGAAGGGTGCTCAGCTAGCGGGCACTTAGCTGACTTCCTGCTGGGGTGATGAGAACATCGGAAAACTGGACAGAAACAGTGGTCTTGCAACTTTATGGATGTATTAAATGCTATTGGCTTGTTCACTTTGAAATGGACGATTTTGTGTACATTTCACCAAGATTTAAAAAAAAAAAAAAAAAAAGAAGAAGGGAAGAAAAGGAGTGGCCTCTCCCAGGGATGGCTGAAACTTACAAGACGTGTCAAAACTGAAACACACAAAGGGCCAGAGAAGGAACCCTCCCGAGAGTTCTCAGCAGTCGCAAAGAGATCTCTGGACTGAGGGTCACCCTAAAGTTCCGGAGCTCTGGGGGTGGAATTAAGGGAGGAATGCTGGCATGGGTTAAATACACAGTGTGCTGCGATGTGCCGCCTCTCGCCTGCCCTCCTGGGTCTCTTCCCCCAAACTCTCAGACACCGCCTGGCTATCTCTCCAGCACGACATTTCCTGAGACATCCCTGCCAGACCGCACCCCCTCCGGAGACTCCGCCGACGCCCGTCCTCCTCCTTGATCACTCTCTGCTGAATGCCGGTGACGGAACCTGCTGTGGCACAAAGCTCCCTTTCTTGTTATCAGGATGTTCCAGGGATTAATTTATGCAAACCATGAAGAGAGGCACCCTGTTCTGTGCCTGCTCTTAGCCGCCTGTCTTGCTGCCAAAAGGGCAACCGGAGAGAATGTTCCAGAGCCCAAGTCTAGAGTGGCAGAGCCCCTCCCCTGCTGGTGCACTGCTGCGCTGCCCTCCGGGCTGGCTGTCGCGGCAACTCATCTGGGATTTCAGGTAGATGAAAGAGCTCGAGGTCCATCTGTCATGCAGCCACATGGTCAGACCTCTCACTAATGTTCTTGCTGTCCAGAGGAATGGGCAGAGACCCTCCCGCCACCAGTGCAAGTAACCAGCTGAGGAACCAAGAGGGGGTCCACAACAGAGCTGGATTCGAACCCAGACCCTCCTCCCTCCCTTCCTCTTGCTCTGCCCCGTGAACAGGGACCCTTATTACAATCTACACATGCACCGTTCCTGTCCTGGCAAACGCCTCAGTACTTCAGTCCAGTGACTGCCATGTCTTGTGTTTTGTTGTTTTTAAAATGAATTGATTGATTGATTTCACAGGAGAGGATGATGCAGCGCAGTGGTACTCGGTGGTAGTTACAGAATTACAACGGCCAAGATTTCCTGAGGTGGCCTCTGTGTACCACTTTCCCGAGGGCTTTACGTAAATTGTCTCGTGTTTTCCTGTATCGACATATTTAATCCTTACAATACTGTGAGTGGGTCTCATTAGTCCAGATTTGCAAATGAGAAATCTGTGGCCCAAGAGATTAAGTAGCATGGCCAACCGTACGAGAGGAGAGTGACAAGGGCGAGGGTGATGAAGCAGGTGTGGAAATCCAGGACACAGAACTGGCCACGTGACAAGCGAACATGTCACCAAGGAAAGCAGTGGAAGCCCTGAAGAACAACAGTGATGGAGTTGTGGACACTGGTACGGAATTAACAATGTAACCATCTGAAAAGGAGGGCCTTTCTGGGGGTGGGCCCAAGAGAATACTGTAGCCTGGTTTAAAATGTATACTGTTTCTATCAATAAGGTTAGGACTTCTTGTTCCATTTTTTTAAAAAAGAAAAAAGTAACAGCAAACTCCGAGGGCAGGTCCACTGCTAAGCCCTGGCTCTGCCATTGGCTCCGGCTCTAACGCCAAGGCCACCTCCTTCGAATGAGGAAAGCACCAGTGTCTGCACACAGTTAGCATGTCCCCAAACAGTCATGTCCACCCAGAAGCTTTGAGTGTGACCTTATTAAGAAACAGGGTCTTCGCCATGGAGTTACTAAAAGATCTCGAGATGAGACCATCCTAGAGTTGGGAGGGGCTCTAACACCAATGACGTGTCTTTGTGAGAGACAGAGCCAAGGAAGTAGAGACGCAGAGAAGGGAGCATATGAAGAGGGAGGCACGGAGGGGAGAGACTGGAGTGATGCTTCTAGAAGCCGGGGAATGCCAAGGATGGCTGGCGCCCACCAGAGAGGGGGAGAAAGCCGTGATGGCGTCTGGACCTTGCTGACCACTCATTCCAGCCCTCCAGTCTCCCGCATGGTGAGGGAATAATGGTCATCGTTCAGGCCGCCATGTTGGTGGTCATTTGTGGTGGCAGCCCTAGGACACTAACACTGGGCCCATCTCACTGGGTCGCTGCGAGGGTTCGGTAAGACGGTACAGGACAAGTGGACACAGAGCGAGTGCTCCCAGAAGAGGCTGATAGCACATTATGCTCAAGGAAGAGTCCCAGATGCTGAGTCTGTCTGGGGAACTGTTGCTTACGTCAAAATTAAATACACAGACAAAATAAAGAGCAATCTCTTCTCATGATCTTCGCTTTCAGAGTGCTGTGGAAATCGGCATTC